ATGTAACAAAGAGAGAGAGAGAGAGAGAGAGAGAGAGAGAGAGAGAGAGAGAGAGAGAGAGAGAGAGAGAGAGAGAGCACTGCCAGTGCTGACAGTCTGAAGACTCTGACGTTCTGAATTGAACTGCAAAGTTTGAACTTTTAAGTTGTGTATGAAGTTGTGAACTTAAATTACTAAATCCAAAGTTCAAAGTTCAAAGTTAATCATACTTTCTTCAAAAATCTCTTTTTCTTTAGTCTTGTGCCTGCTTTGCACTGTTTGCAACTCTGCATGTCTGCTAGTTAAATGTGCTTGTTGATTTGCAGCAAGACACGTGCTCTGCTGCCTGAACTACAGAGTGCAGAGCAGGTAAGTGCCTGCCAACACCCTTGCCCACACCCCCACCCCCGTTTTTGTTTGTTTGTTTGTTTGTTTGTTTGTTTGTTTGTTTGTTTGGTCCGGACATTTGTGCACCCCTGGTACCGGTCCGGACTGTCCGGGTCCGGTGATGTCCGGGTGTCCGGTAATGTCCGGATCACCAGACAGTCCAGACCGGTCCATACACTGGTCCGGAAGACAGTCCGGAAGTGTCCGGTGCCCGGGTCCGGGGTTACCATGTTAGAAAGTAGTTCTTTTTTTTTTTGGGGTTCTTTCTTTTCTACGTCGCATTTCTCAGCGACCGGCCGTTCATGTGAACAACCCCCCTCAAATGCGACGCGTTAGCGGGACACGCCCGCGGCCCATAGCTGGGCCAAGTACTGGTGGTTTAAACACGCACCCCTGCCGGTCTGTGATTCACCTGTTTCCAAAGGGGGGTTGGTGTGAAATCTCCTCATAGCGAGTAGGGGAGGGTGCGGTCTGGTAGCGGCAGCTGCCTCCAGGTCTTGAGCAGGGTGACCCAGAAGCCATCCCTACCCAAATCCCGCCGGATTGTGCCCCTTCCCCTTGATCTTTCGAGTGGGCCTCTGCCGTAGGTAAGGCCCAGAACAGGTCCTCGAGCCATGTGAAGGGGTCAACCGTGTCGGGTGCTCGCGGGGTCAGTCTACGAATTTGTTCCAAGTCCGTTTTTGGTTGAATGATGCCTCTTGATCCACTGGGTTGTGATAAGCCAAGTTCCGTACCTCGTGGCTTCACGTACCCTTCGGATTAAACCTCGAAGTAAGATATGGATCTTGACTAATTACGAGAAACCAGGTCCATTTTAATTTGGGACTGACCTCATTCACGTAGTAAAAGATAGCGAAGCAGAATGCTAGAATGCTAATGACTAGCCCAATCAATGTTTGAACGCAGACCAAACATACATCGTGTCCATCACAAAGTGTGAAGGAGCCTGGCGCTGTACACAGGAAGGGAGCGCCAGGTCCAGACATACACAGACGAAGAGGAGGGGATCAGACGAAGAGGAGAGGGAGAGATGGGAATCGTCAACACCAAGTCCTTGTCACAAGTCCCAAATAATCCCTCGTTGCCATGTCTGAAGCCAAAAGTCGGGTCTGGATCCAATGTCACCAAACTCTCTCTCTCTTCTCACGTAGTCTGCTGATGCAGTGAATTCAGATGATGAGAGGGTGAGAGGGAGATGGTGGACTGAGAAGGGGAAGAAGAAGAACTCTCTCTCTCTGTGCTGCAGGTACCTTGAAGACGAAGCTGGAGCAATGGCGCTGCAGGTAAGTACCTCTGGCCTCCGCCCAATCTCTCTCTCTCTCTAGTGCTATCCTAGCTATGGCGCCCAGAGCTGGAGACTACAGCTACCTACTGCGCCCAGCGCTGAAGACTAAGGCTAACGCTACTACTACTCCTGCAGCGCTCCCTCCAGAGTGCTGCTGCCGAATCCTGAAGACTACTACTGCCTCCTGCCTGAACTGCACGTGAAGTGCCTGGCCAGTCCTTATGAACTACCCGCCTGCCTGTAGGGCGGGCCAGTCTTATATAGTGCTGGCCCGTCCAGGAGGCTGCCCTTGCCAATGCCCAAACGTGCTACACCCTGAGGAAACTTCCGCAAGTTTCCAGGTAGCTTCTGGCTAAAGCCTGAGGAAGCTTCCAGGAAGTTTCCAGGTAGCTTCTGGCTAAAGCCTGAGGCAGGCTGTCAGGCTGAAACGACACGGCGCCTGTAGGCCTTGGTTTTCAGGCTGTCAGGCTGAAACAGACACGGGGCCTGTAGGC